CTTTTTTCGGTTTAGGCTCAGAGTTTACTTTGGCCGGGTGAAGTATTATCGTGGGCATATTTATCTCCGTGGGATCGATCTTAGTGTTTACAAAATGCGCAATTATTTCAGTCATCCTATCGCACTTTTTCGTGAGCAAAGCTAAACAGTCGACAACTGGAATAACTGGACATGTTGGGCAAAACCAAATTGTGTCAACAACTTGGTTTGTCTGTCTCACTTCTTGGATGGATTTGCCTACAGATTGCGGACAATATGATCTAATGCAGCTAGAACAGGTAATACTGATTTTAAGGACTTTACTGCAATTGTTCGCGCAACATAGGCGACGTGGAACCATTGGAATGTTAGTCGTCCTCTTACTGTTTACAGCAAGGTCTCTCAAAGCGTTCACCTTGATGAGTGTACTTTGCGAAAGGGGTGACGCACGAACAGGTCAGAACACGCACACATATTAGGATTTGTTCAACCGCACCAAGGTCATTGCGGAGAGGCAGATGGAGGTCGTAACGCGCAGACTGTCGGATTCAGCGATCAATCGACTCGCCGTGGAACAACAGCCACACAAAGCGTGTGTTAATCAGCCTGCCTTTAGCGACGATACAGGTGGAGCGCTGATAAGCGTCCCTAGAGCTGATCAGTTGATGAGCGGAGCAAAAGGGCTGTAACTTTGTTATGCTGCAACTTGCAGGGATGGTTGCCGCGTAGTTTGGGAGCCCTCAGCTTCTTCTTCCGAATGAGACCAAAACCTTTTCCGAAAATTCGGTTTGATGTAGTTACACAAGTGGAATTCGGCAAAGAATACGCCGAAAACTAGGAACTGGAGAAAGAGTATAATCCACACCGGTTAGATCCAAAAGTTGGAAAGCACTGAGTAGAGCTCGTCGAACTGCTTTGTACGAGCGCACGCACGATATTGTGTCGGGAGAATTAGATTGGCCACAGAGGGCAAAGCGAGAGCCGAGTTAAAGTGCGGCCGCACGGTTGGTGTCACTGTTCTTATGTTTCTATGTTTTGACAGCTACCATGTTTATGTCTAGGAATAACTATGGAATGCTTCCATGTGTTTGGATACACGCCGAATTTCAGCGAGAATGTTAATAAGTTAAGAAGTAGAACAGGAAGGTCCTGGCCGCCGAGTATCAGCAGTGCAGATGGGAGACCATTAGGCGCAGGGTGTAGTGACAGCCTAAGTGATCTAATTACACGGATTATAGAACGTAGGTGGGAGGTAATTATGTCTAGCGAGTCGTGGGTAAGTTTGGGCACAGCGGTTGGCAAGATCAGGTTGTTGTCAGTGAAGCAATCGCAGAAATGGCTCTTGAGAATCTCAGATATTTCCTTCGGACCGCTAATTACGGACTCATCGGAGATTCTTGGAGAGGTGCTGGATGTTGCTGTGCGATTGTTTCTATATTCCAAAAGCTGAGTGAGGGACTTGGTTTTATTTTGCCGTTACAGGCAGCGCGCTCTTCAGCCAGCTTAACCATCACCTGGGCGTGCTTCCAGTTGTTTATGACTTTGTTCATACGAACAAGGATATGGAACTCATGCTTCTTAGAGTAGTGGTGACACATTTTCCGGAGCTTCATCAGCACCCTGTTTAGCTGAGATGAACACTTTATCAGTTTTGAACTGTGACGGAGCTATCACTTCTGAACAGTTGGTGATGTTGTTGTAGAGATCATAAGTAACCGTGTCCACATAATTGGACAAGAGAAAGGTATCCCAAGCAACTGATTGGATAAGCATAGAAAGGTTATCCCAGTTAATGCTTCTGAACATCCGAGATTCACCAGCTAGACTAGTTGAGCGATGGGGTGATGTACCCAGGGATATTTAGATAGTTGTCAGGGCTGATTGAGGATTGCCAGGTTTCCGTGATCAGAACAATCTGTGGAGAGGAGAGAAGAACAAATGGACCGATGTAGTGCATTTTGTGGTTGATGGATCTTGCATTGATAAGGAGCATATTGCAGGTTCGACAACATGTGTCCCTAGAGAGAGTGAAGTCGGGGTCGTGTGCCGTATCCATGCGTGTCACCACGGTGGAATCAGTAAAGAGTGAAGCAGATGTTCCACTTGCAGGTAATACACATGTTGCAGTTGTTACCTCACAGCGATCTAAAGAGATGCACTGGGGTGTCTGACCGTATACGCTATTGTGAGCCCACAGGTTCAAGTTCAAGTTCAAGTGGGACCGGAACAGCAAGATAAATCCCCGTGAATGTTCCTTCCGTGACGCGTCGTTAATCTAGGATATTATTCGTCCGCGATAACTGGAATCCAGAGTGGTCTGATCAGCTCGCGCAAATCACACCACGGTCAACCAATTAATACCCACGTGACCTGCACTGGCAGTCCCCGCCGCACCGGTCACGTGAAATAAGAAAGTGAAGTACGAAAGTAATAAGAGCGTCAAGAAAAAAACGTAATAGATTTAACAATGCAATAAGACGAATAAGCTTGGACGTGAAGGGGAGTACCAAGAATTGAAGGCCCAGAGCATCAAGTCGGTCTTCAGATGCTTTCACCGTTGGTGCCGATACCACGTTTAGGGCGGAGTATTCCAGGAATTCACCACTCGGCGTGATAAAAGAAAGCCCGCCCGGTCTCTATCCGACCGAAGTTTGTGTAGCTCCAGCGAGTGACCTCGGAGCGATGGAAGCCGAGCCGGTTGGAAAAGCCCGGATAAATGGGATCCGATTTTACCGGTAAGTATACGATAGGTCAAGACTAGGTCGCCTCAATGTTGATGACAGTGCATCAAGAGCATTCCCAGCGCAAGTAGTCTTGCTGGGTAAGAATGGTTCCGCAGTCCATAGACCAGTTTGGTTCCAACTCTCAACACTCTCTCCACTGACATCCTTTCCCTGACTAAGCAAGGTGGACAAGCCTGGATGCAGTATTCCAAGTGTGGCCTGACAAATGCTAAGAATAACCTAACAAACTTAGCGCCCGTGATGGTCCCGAATGCTCTGAGGATTATCCACAACATTCTGAAACCCTTGCACGGAGTTTTCCTCCAGTTCTCACTGGATAAAAGTTCTGAAGACAACGTGACCCCTAGGTCTACCAATTCGGAAACATGGGGTAGTTCATTACCGCCAAGCAAATAACGCGTTTGGGGGCTAGTTGGCTCTATTCGTAAGATGGAACATTTTGCATAAGTTATGGGCAACTGCCACACAGCAGACCAGTCCCAATATTTATCGAGGGCCCGTTGCAGAGTCTGGGGTTCATCGAAGTCAGACACTATGTGCCAAAACTTTAGGTCATCTGCAAACATGAGAAATGGTACCTCCAGCAGTTCGGGCAGCTCGTTGACATACAAGGAAAAAAACAGCGGGCCAAGCACCGAACTCTGAGGGACCCCACTGAGGACTGACTGTCGGAAAGACAGACTAGACCCCACACCAACACACATCTCTCTCCCTTCCAGAAACGTGGTGATCCATTTTAGTGCACCCCGGGATATTCCATAGGACCGAAGTTTCAAGGAAAGGCGAGAATGTGATACACTGTCGAACGCCTTGGAGAAGTCAATAAACACTACATCTACTGCATGGCATCGATCCAAAGTATCCGCCTAACATTCGCGTGCAACTAGCAGATTAGTCATATAGGAATGACCCTTGCGAAAGCCGTGCTTTTGTGGACTGAACAGACCATACTCCCGCAGGTGGTCTTCAAGCACAAATCTGATCAACTTCTCCAATACCTTGACCAATACATTTGTCAAACTTACTGGTCTATAATTGGCAGGAAGATGCTTGTCGCCCTTTTTTAAAATCGGGCAGACGATAGCATCCTTCCAGTCCTTGGGAAAGGAGCAGCTGCGAAGCGACAATTGAAACAAACGCGTCACTGGGCCACATAGCTCGCCTGCGAGTTCGTACAGAAGCTTAGGGTGAATATCATCCATCCCAGCGGATTTAGCAGGATTTAGCCCCTGAAGAAGATGGAGAACTTTTGCCTCCGAAATTGTGACGTGTGTTAAACAGGAGTCCTGGGGGACTGTCATTGCTAGGTCAAGATGCGGCAATTGCCCATCCCGAACAAAAGTTCCGGAATACTGCGCACTGAGTAGACAGGCTTTTTCGTTATCAGTGGTGGCAGTGGCGCCGTCGCTGCCTAATAACACTGGGATAGATGAGCCAACGTTACTACGCGTTTTGACGTAGGCGAAGAAGCTTTTGGGATTCGCGGAGGCTGAGTTATCCAGCTCCATCACATAGCTAAATCTAGCAGCTCGTAAATAACTCTTGCAAGCATTCCGAGCTTCACGATAACGCCGAAAAGTACATTCTGAGATAACTGTTCGGTAGATCCGCCAACATCTTGCCCGTCTATTCATTAGCTGGTGTGCGACTGAGTCCAACCATGGTGGCTTCGCTTTGGTACCCTTCTTTACCGAAAGAGGGATGTGGGGGTGGGATATGTTAAACAGGAAAGACTTAAACGTATCTCAAGCCGTCTGTATATCATCATCCATCAAGGTGATGCATGGGAAACTTACTACCTTGGCTCTAATGGACGGAAAGTTTTCTTGCCAAACGTTCGGAGTCCGGACCCTGTGTGAATCGTAGTCACTAATGAGAGCACAAGTGAATGACAAACACGCATGGTCACTGGCTCCCAAAGGGGGGCCGTACTCAAGGTCACTCACAAAGTCAATCGGCTTTGCGAAAGCTAGGTCCAACAGAGAAGGAACATGACCCACCATGT